TCCATAGGAACAACACAAAATCTTCTCCTTCTGTGTTTATCTCTGGAATTGTATGTGGTTGGTTACGGGTGAATGCTCCATGACCAGTTTTGCATTTTTGAAGCATATATGATATACCATAAATTTGAGATGATTCACTTGCACAGGCATCTCACTTGTACAGATTTCCCTCTTTTTGAAGGGACTAAGATTTGTACTTCAAGGTTTCTCAGCCCATTTCTCAACATATGGCTAAAGGGTCTATGAGGCTATGAAATGGGCATGAAAATGCTTCACGTTTCATGGGAGTGTTGTGTGGTTTGAATAGTTAATGCATGCATATGCATATTCAGAGCTTCACATCAAAAGCACTTGCATAGCATTTGTGTGTAAATACAGGTTTCTAATGCCATGTAGACAGCTAGTATCACATTATTTCTTATTCCCCTACTTCCCTGTGGGTTTTTTAGGTAACAGTAGTCAAAAAATAATGTGATTTTCTATTTTTATAGGGACTCAGCAGTTAACATTCATTGCCAGTCAGACTCCTTTTCATGTCTGGCAGCTCTACAGAACTTGGGTTGTGTGACTAAATTGTACTCATATGAAGCATGCCATTAAAATGGGAATGGTTGTTCAACAGATTAAGGACTCCTAGGATCAAGTGCTTAAGGTGAACTTAAAAAAACCCACTGGAATACCTACATATGTAGATTAAAAAAAACCCAAAACAAAGCAAACGCCACCACCCCACCCCCCCAAAACCACCAAGAAAAACAAACCAGCAACTGCACCCCCTCTGCTTCCCCCCTTGTCCCATGTAATAGGCATGCTGAAAGTCAGTCTGTTGCTCAGTGAACACTTGGATGTAAGTGGTTGCAGCCAGCAAAAGAAGTCCTGCCTTACCAGGCTTCACAGAGCCTCATTCCATTTGTGCTACATCAGTTTTCAGCTGCATCAGTTTTCTGAGCCACTGTACTCTGTGGCCACCAAATCGATGTGTTGGCAAAGAGGCGTGGTGGCACAGGAGTGAGGATGAATGCTTGGGGGACCAAGGTACATGGGACTGTAGCTTGAGGGTTGACTTATTAAACGAGAAGTCACAGAAATATTCTGAGACTCTCAGATTAATGTATTTACTGTAAACAATTCAATTTTTACAATTTATTCACAGTTAACTATCTTTGCTTTTACGTGAGCTTTTATTTGATACTGACTTTTTCTCTTCCAGAAGAGAACAACTTGTCTAATTGCAGTTTTTTCTTGATCAGTTATTACATTGTGCCCTTGCTTCTACTGTTGAGGACAGATGTTGAAAAACATCTTAGCCAAAATAATATATATTGAAGATACACACGTGCACGCACACACACCCTGTGTGTGTATATACACATAAATAGATAGGATTTCAAATACTCTGGTATAAGTGACTCTGCTTCACAGACTTGGTGCCCTCATAATTTTCAGTAGCTGTAATTTTAGCCTTTTGATCTCACCTGTTCAACATCTAAGTATTTTTAATTTAAACTCCGTTATTACCCTGGTGGTTGATATTTGGGGTTTCTGAAGTGCTTATCCCAGCAAACAGATCAAACTCTTTTACTAGTTTGGAAAGCAGTTCTGCTTTTAAAATTCACAGTATAAATTAGAATGAATAATATTAATGATGCATGGTGGAGAATGTAATAGTTAGGAAATTAGACTAATAAAGACCAAAGGTAGCTAAGAAATTTAGTGAAGGAAAATGAGGAAATGCCTTTCAACCTGGTATTGTGCTACAGTGTCTCTCTCTGTACAGACAGCACGGATGTAGATGTGCAAAGATTAATCTGGTCAAGATGAAACTAAAATACCACAGAGTGGGAGATTTGTGTGTGTGACTGTTTATGCTTCCGTATTAAACTCAGAAGGTCAGCAGATTATAGACAAAGGGCAGGACTGCTGAAAGAAAACACGCCAAAATATTTTGTGAAATGGATCGGAGAGAATGAATGTTGTGCGCTGCCACAGGGCCTTCCAGGAGGGGAAAACCTGAATGTGATGAATAAATAGCTAATATGATTGTAGGTAATTTATTACTGTGATTAGTGCTATATAGTCTTTCCTCAGGGAAGAGGAGAGAAATGAATGAGACTTCCTCTTGCTGTTCCCCTTTGCTTGGGCCTGGCTTTTGATGTGTTTGCATTTTGATGAGTGGCGTTGCTCATCATCCGCTCCCGAGCCATCTCTGGAACAGGAAAGCGAAATGTGACTGGTTATAAAGTTGAGGAACTAGGTGGGGAGCCAGGTCAGACCCTGGTGCCCATCCTATGGTAAATGTTAATGTATGTACAAATGCAGAGTCTGCAGCCATGCCATCCTCAGCCTACACTGGTTACTCCGGCTTGCAGGCTATGGGTAGCTAGAGTTTATGGGTAGATGTTGATGAACTTTGGTCCCTGTGCAGTTTCTCCTCTGGGGCCTGTTTTGTCTTGCTGCTCAGTCCTGGTGTTGGTTCTTTGGTTCCATTGGTGTGGCCATGTCCTGAGCGAGGTTGTTCTCTCCCTGGGCTCCCTGGTGCCTACCTGGCTCTCAAGAACTGACCAAGTGGAGCCTCTCTATACTCTTAGTAAAACCAATCTTGACACCAACTGCAGTAAATACTGCTTGATTTTTCCCTACTGATTTCAAATGCTTATATAGCATGTATAATGTTATATTTATATGTTTTAATAATTGCTGATGCCACCATTGGTTTGTCTTTTCATGTCCTGGGTATCTTCAGAGTAAGCCCTCTTTTTCAAAGTGTAGCAATAAAAAAGCATTGACTTCAAGCAAAATGTTCCAGACTTAATTGAACATAATACCAGCAAAATGTGCCGATTTTCAAGTCTATCGAAATAAATGGGAGAAAGTGTAAAACTTGGACGTTTATCCAGTAAGATGAGAAATTTTCTCTGCTAAAACTGGCAAATGTTGGTAACTTGGCAGAAACCTGAATTTAACTTCTCCATCCTACTTCTCTGAGAATTTAATCACATCTAGCTTGTTTTGGGGGATTGATAGTTATGACAAGTGTATCAAATTTCATGCCAGTGGTATCTTTTATGTTTCCTGAGAGAGGAGAAAATAGCAATTTTACCTTGTGCCCAGGAGTCACAGAGAGCAGGAATTGTAGGTACCTGCCATATCGAGTTTTTAAATAAAAATGAATTGCAGAGCAGCATGTAGCAGAGATGGGGAAGGGGAGGGAAGAGGGAAAGGAGTGAGGCATAAACTGTAAAGGAGCATTTATTGCATTTCCCCAGCTTTTAATCTAATGCAGCACCACAGAAAGTTATGAATATGTATGATCTGCATTTTGTTCAGATGTGAGGCGTCTATGAAGATGTCTGCTTGTTTTTTTTTCAGGGGATTTATAGCTTTTTGTTTTCTACCCAGAATTAACTGAGTTTGCAAATATGATGTTTATATACATACCTTGTGTCATTCCTGTTTCCATGTTGTAAATATTGAAAACCAGAGGGTTTTGACTGGTTCCCCTTAAGTCTTATTTAGGGGAAAGTTAATCTTCTTGTAAATACTTACAGCTTTACTTTGAAACATACTTTTTTTAAAAAAAACCCCACAAACCCAGACAGTTTTGAAAGTTGAAAAACAAGTTTTAAACTATCAAAGCTACATCTATTTAGGAGAACTGTGTTCCTGAGAAATATGTAGCATAGGATTCTATGTTCTTTGGGGCAGATGTTGAGAGTACCAGAACTGGAAGATGGACCCATAGATTTCCACATACGTTTTGCTGTCTTTACTGGGGAGGGGGGATGGGACCACACACCAAAAAAACCCCAAGACCAACTAAACAAACACAACAAAAAACAAAACCCAAGCTTTTGTACATGATTATTAGGAATATACACCAAAATGAGAGGTTTGGTATAAGATTAGGAGGTCAGGCTGATGGTGAAGGCAGTAGAAGGGAGATGTGAGTCTGGTTTTAGCTTTGATGCAAACTTACATGTGATTTTTGGCAAGTCACAGTGGGACAGATTTTGTAAAAGAACCGAACTTCTGTGAAGACACCAGAGTGTGGGACCATATTTTTAAGGAAGCCCAGCACCCAGTATGTTTATTTAGAAGATCTGGCACTGATTGTTGGTATCAAGTGCTTGAAAATCTGTCTCTGAACTCCAAAAATCTGGCTCCGTGGGCCTGATCCATGCCTCATTCCAAACAACTAAAATAGTTGCCCTGACTCGAGGTGATCAAGCCTGTACTTTTTATCTGTGAACCTCATGGTAAATGAATTAACCACAATTCCTTTTTCCTACCTGATGTCTTACCTTCTTGAGTTTCGTGGTTTCTTCTGCATGTGTACATCTTACTGAAATGAGATGCTATCATAAACTGAATTATAATAATAAAGTGAAAGTCCATTGCGAGTTAATTGGAGCTTTGAAGAACATGTTAGGTCTGGAATAAATACCCCTTGAACCCAGATTAAACCAAATAACGGCATAATTTAAAAATAAACAGCACCAGAAGCCCGATTCAGTGCCCCATGTCTGGTACCCTCACAATATACCTGTGAGGTGTACTGCAGTCTCTGGTTTACCCACCCCCTCAGACACCCGAGGTATCTCACCACGGATCACTCCTGTGGACTGTGACTTGGGACTGCTCTTTCTGACCTAGTCGCGTGAATTAAGTGGTAGGACTCAGAGTCACATCTTAGGCTAATCTACATCAGTGCGTCATCAGTTGAAAGCAAGGGAGCAGTGGTGGTTTATGCCACCTTTGGAGCTGTTTTGGTGCCAAATAATGCTTTTTATTGTGACATTGCTTTGTGTGATGTTATTTTACATTTTAACACAGTTTCATTCAATGGAAGAGAAGCATCGTTAATAACTTCAGCTCAACATGGAGATTCGCACAGCTCTTGGGTATTTAATTCTGTCACTGCTAGCTGTCTGCTTATTGTGCTGGCAATGCTGGTGTGGGAGGAAAATGTGCTAATTAAGTCCTCTTTTTTGTTATTTCAGGAAACCTACCATATGAATATAAAATAGTGATTGCTGGGAATCATGAACTGACATTTGATAAGGAATTCATGGCAGACCTTGTTAAACAAGATTACTACCGCTTTCCCTCTGTGTCCAAATTGAAACCAGAGGACTTTGACAATGTTCAGTCACTCCTGACAAATAGTATTTACTTACAAGATTCAGAGGTAACAGTTAAAGGATTCCGAATATACGGTGCCCCGTGGTAAGTCTCAATTTAAAATTTCTTTGCTGTTTATTGCTTGAACCACAGTGGGAATCATTCCATGAAGCTGCTTTGTTGCATTGCTCTGCAGAACAATATCAAACTTAGCTGTAAACCACCCTGAAGCAATTGCCACTTTTTTTTTTGGTGGATAAATAGGCTATATTTAGCCATATGTGTGAAATAAGACACAAGGAATTATAATTATTTCTGTTCTACCTGCTGAATGCACTTAAAAAATTGTGGACTCAATATCCACTCTGTGCTTGTGGATTAACTGCTGTGGCATCTTGGTATGTATTAGGGAAGCTCCATTCTGTTGTGTGCTGTTTAGGTATTTACGTCTGGTGGATAAATAGGCTATATTTAGCCATATGTGTGAAATAAGACACAAGGAATTATAATTATTTCTGTTCTACCTGCTGAATGCACTTAAAAAATTGTGGACTCAATATCCACTCTGTGCTTGTGGATTAACTGCTGTGGCATCTTGGTATGTATTAGGGAAGCTCCATTCTGTTGTGTGCTGTTTAGGTATTTACGTCTGCTGTGCTAATAGATTAGTATGGCAGCAATTAACACCCACACAGCACAAGGTACAAGGCAAAGCAGGTGCTTTAGGCATTATTTCTGATCAGTTCTAGGTATTGTTTTCTTTTGCTTTTAAAGTTGTGGTAACGAAATTTCAAGCCAGTTTTGATCTCACTTCACCCTTGTGCCAAGCATATGCAGGAAAAATTGCTGTCCAGTTTTGCACTTTGGAGACCCTTCCCTGTTTTCTATTCATGTTGTTTAGTTGTGATGCCTGTTATCTCTGTGTGGAGTCTTGGGTGGCACTTGTTTTAAATTCTCATGCTAACAACAGCCACAGTCCTTTCAGGCTCTACCAGAAACCTGAACTTCAGTGGTGGTGATAATCATTATGCTACTTGGCATTCTCAGTTGTCAGCTGAAGTACTTAGATGCTAATTTATGCACACCTCTAAGAAGAGTTTGTTATGAGGTTTTAACTTATATTTTTGATGTCAGGCTTGCTTTAAAGGGGAAAGTAGGAGAGGAGGGAGGAGTGTCAGGGGTTAACCAAAGAATAGAACAAACTTATACAGATATTAGAATTTTTCTCCTTCATCTCATTTCTCTTGACTGTTTGCTTGGCCCACACGCCTTGGTGGTTCATACAGCACCACATACGTTAATGCTTCTGACAATGCCTTTTTTTGGTCATATTGTGTTATCTAGTGCTGACTAGAAGACTGTGGTCTAGCTGTGTATCTCACATTCTTGACTTAAGCTACTATTTTTTATTTTTTAAATACTCTTAAATCCTTCCTTATCAGCTAACTGGGAAAGATGACCTTAATTCAGGCTAGGAATCATCTCTTAAAGACATTTTGAAGTATTTTTGTAGTAATAGCGGCATATTACAGAAGCAGACAGAGCATGTAAGGCCTTGTGTAGTGTGAGGCTGATTTGAGACTTGCTGCAAAGTGAGCAGCTGTGTGAGCTGGGAGGTGAGTTGCTAAGATTAAGGTTGTGTCCAGATTCTTTCATATGTATGTCTCAGATAAAAAGTGTAGGCATCTTTTCAAATTTACCTGGGGTAGATTTACATTAATTCTGCTTAATACAGAGCTGCTGGAGAGATCTGGAGAACATAGAATCCAAGTATGGGGAAGAGAGAACCTGGTATCCGGAAATGGAGAATGGTGTGATATGCCTTTACATTTACCTTTATGGCAAAATGTAGTGATCTGTTTTTCCCCTCTTATGCTTCCCAAATCCATAAGGGCAATCAGTTATCTTTTTGCCTCCAACTGCATTTAGAAGTCCTTTCATTTTGCAGGTATAAATATGGATCTAGAAGGTACTGAAATATTAAGGGATGCAACATCAAGCAACTGAGCTGTTTTAACTTTAACAAGTGAATGACACGTGTATTCTGACCTAGTCATGGAAGACAAATCTTAAATATTCCTCTCTACATATATTCTGACCTAGTCATGGAAGACAAATCTTAAATATTCCTCTCTACAATCAATCCATTGATAACTGGATTTTTCCAGCTAGTGATCAATGGGAAAGCTAGACTGCTAGAAAGGCATGCTGAGCTCCAACCAAATGCAGACTTCTGTTCTCTCTTGAAGGTTGTTTCATTTGTGTTCAGCTATGAAAAGCTGTTGTTAAAGCATGTTTTGAGCATCTGTTAATGTGGAGTTGCGGATATTATTTTGAATACAACTTTTTACATCAGCTAGTCTGTTTGGAGCATAGATGCATGATACCATCCCCCCTGCCCTCTCTCTCTTCTCCCTCTCTCTCCTTCCCCCCCTCTCTCTCTGTTCCTGGAAAATGTGAAAACTCAACTAGTTTCCTGCATTTTAGTTGGTCTTTGAGAGGAAGGAAAAGTCACATCAGATACTAGAAAAATCTGTTCCAAATCTAATCTGTGCCTGGAAACTGAGACAGAATAATCAGACAAGTCTGTTAGCACTTCTTAAATTTTTTTCTCTTTCCCCTCCAATCATATCTCACTCTACTACTATAAATCTTCATATTACCCCAAACAAAGAGAATTTGTGGGGATTTTGTATGTATTTATGGCCTCCTTACCCCAATTAGTTCTGTTACAGAAGTGGAACACTGGTCATTAACCCAGAAGATGCTCCAACCCTAAAATGAGATAAGTTGGCATGTTCAATTTATGTGCATTTTAAAAAGTATTTCCAGAGGGAAAAAAATTCTCATTTGCTGATAAAGCTACTGGTTTTAATTTAAAAAGGGGGATCAAACCAAGAATAACAGCTGTGATTCTGGAGGTTTCAGCCTGTCAAGGGTTTCTAAGAAGTAATTGCCAGAATACTGGGAAAACTGGCTATAAGTCATCTATCTATTTAGAAAATGTAAATTGCCGACTCAGTGTAACTATAGAAAAGAAATATCAGTCCATATTCATTACGTGTTATTACTCATGGTACATCTGAAAGCTTTCTAAAGACCTAAGAGAATTCAAGTAGTGCCTCCTAACTTACAATTTAGTAGAATTTGTATGTAGAAAATAACTTACAATACACGGGAGCATTCATGTGTATTTGCAATTGGAATGTGCGGTGGTGCATATCAACAGCCTCTCAGGAGCAGAAAATTTGAGTTTAGCCTGATGGTTCTGAGAGAATTAAATGGCATTAGCTGGAGGGGAGTTGAAAACAAGAGTATCAGCCCCTAAAAGAGAAAAGAGGAAGGGCGGGGAACATGAGTCACGTTCAGAGCTTTGCTCATTTTCAGAGGTGAAGAATGTAACTGACATTTTCACACCTTAAATAGGAGATTCTTTGATATACCTTGAAGGAGCAAAATGGCTGAAGATTTTCCATTTGGTCTATAGATAACAATGCACAAAAACATTTCCCTCCTTTCTCTCCCTTCTGACTTTGCCCTATGAACCTGGCTTGTTTGGTTGAAAAATAATCAATAGTTTATGCAGACAAAACTCAAAAGATTCCAATGGCAACATTTTCTCCTTTGGAAATTTGAGATTGAGGCTTCTTATTGAACAGGACAAAAAATAAAAACAGTAAAAGACACAGGAATTTTAAAATCTCCCTTTGTGAAGTATATCTAAGCATAACTCTTACTGATATAACTGTAAAGGGTAAGGAGAGAGTCTGTTTTTCCTGGGTGCTGAATATGTATAGATGAAAACATATAAGTGTTATTTAAATTCAAATGTTGTTATTTTAAAATACGTGTGATTTTTTAAAAAGTTATATTTGAAATTGTTCATCCATGCTAAGGACTGAATTTACTATAGTGTGCTACAGATGTCTGAATACAAATATTCTAGCAATGTCTGTTTTCTAATGAAGCTTTAAAAGCATTCAAACCACCAGAGAACTGCAGTTAACTGGAGCCAGATTTGTTTAAACCACAGTTTGACAGAAACAACTATTCAGGGAGAATATTTTCCTTTATTTTATTTTTTTCTACTACTCAGCCCTACAGGTAGCTTTTTTGGTTTGTTTGAAAAAAATTGCTGAAATGAAAAAGTATTCTGATAAACTTTATTTTGTGTGTGTGTAGAAATTTATGGTAGTTAATTTAATGAATAACGATGCAGTAGGCTTATTTATGCATTTTAAATTCTATTCTCAATAAAAATTCCACAAAAAATGTCACATGCCTTAAGTATAAAGTAATCTAATAAAGCAATCATTTACATTATTTTTAGCTATTTAAATATATGGGCAAATTCCACCCATATCTAGCACAATGAAAAGTAAAACTGAAGACCCAAGACTTTCAGCATATATATTTGCTTAGATAATTGTAGATAATATTTTTGAGGGAAGAAAATGTTTAATATAAAAACTACTTTAATATACATTAAAGTATTTTAATGGTTAATGGAATCAACTTTATGGAAATAACTGAAAAGCACAAATGTAAAAGATTAAAATTGATTATTTAAATAATGACTGAAATCTGAGATTTACATCATTGTGATGAAAATCAATTCATCCTGAATGAAGCTGGGAATAAAGCTCTTCCCTTTTGACAGGAACAGCAGCATTGTTCAGCAATATCCTGCACATTTGTCAAGTTGTAGCTTGTTCAGGTCTCAAGAACAGAAGCACAAAGCTGGCCTCCCAGTTGTTTTTAATGAATACTAGTGGGTTTTTCCTATGTCCAAGAATTTGATCTGTAGGGTGATCCAGAGGTCAAGAACAAATGGCTCACTATTGCTCACCTCTGCGAAGCCAAGGCTTTCATTTGCTTTTTTTAGTAACTCTAGAGGAAGTGCCTTAACTCTTTTTCAGAAGCAAAATTTTAATTGGCATAGATAATGCAGCCTTAGGAAAGTATAGACAGGTTCAGTCATCTCCTTTAAAAATAATGTTTTGTGCAATTTTTTTCTTTTCTTTTTAGCCCAGTGTAAGTTTTGGAGATTTCATCTGATGGTTTTGCATCAGTTTGAGATAATTCCTATAACTGTTTCTTTCCCA